AATGTATTTGTCCGCAGATGATTTGCAAAAGAGCAGTGGCCACTTGGAGCAGAGGGAAACTGGGATTGAATGCAGTTCCAAAAGGTCGTTCGAATCTCGAACACCACCCCCCGAGTCGACGGATGCATTTCAGAAAGTTGAGGTACGAAATGAAGGCACTAACAATTCATTAGTCTGAAATCTGAATATTTTATGGAGTATGCAATTTATTTCTTTTCTTCTTCTTGGGATTGTTTAAACAGTTTCAAAAGGCAAAGCAAGACGATGCACTCTCCGATTTAAGCGATATACTGGGAGAATTGAAGGTCATGGCTGTTGATATGGGATCTGAAATCGAGAGTTAGGCTTGAATTACTCTATTTGAATTTTTTGCTCTAATCGTAAATGAACACGTGCTCGCGACTCGCAAGTTACTTGACCTGGCTTGACAGAAAACTCAACTTTGGTATGTTCAATGTCGAGTCGAGCTCAAGCAACTTGAACCATCGAACGAGTCAAATTCAAATATCCTAGTATTTTCCATAAGCCAAGCTTTAAACCTTGCACTCAATTACACATCTATTCGAAATGAACTCAATTAAACTCTGATTGCAGGCAACCAAAGCTCTGATGGGGTCCAAGATGATGGATGTTCTAAATATCCGTGCAGGGTGCGAATCAACGAGCTCGCCGATTACTTGGGAAGTAGAGTCTGCAGTGTCGTGATTTTGCTGATGAGATTTGCTTTGCTTGCTCTCATGCCGCCATGTTTTTAACCTTTCCTCAGCTTCACTCTTCTGTTACTTTGATTCCATTTTCAGACAAAATGGGATTTTATAGCATCTTTGTCTCCTTTTCTTCTACTTTAGGCATGTGATTGTTCTTGAATGTGCACTTTGATAATCTGATTTCTGTTGTGTTTTTTGTGTTTTTTAATTGTGCAAATATAAGAAACATTATTAAACATGTCGAAGTCTCAAAATAAATATTTTTTTCCTTCTAGTTTTGCTGTCAGCACTAGAAAATAGACTTACAAATTTATTCCAAACTGAAGTATTTGAATTAATTTATTTGACTCGACCCAAACTTTCGAAATCTAAAATAAATCGAATTAAATCAAAATTAACTTGAATTTTAGATGAATTAACATTGACTTGAATTGAAAACAATCTGAATCTAAGTAATCTCAATTGAAAGTAATTTAATAAAAATAAATTTAAATTTAATATATTCAAATCTGATCCAATCCAAATATTGACTCATTTTAATTCGTTAATTAAGTCCAAGTAAATAAATAATTTATTTTTATTATATATATTTTAAAATTTGATAGATAATAAATGACGTAAGTTCAATTATTTCTATATTACATTATTAATTAATCATACATTTAGTAGTTTTAATATCATATGTCCCCACTAGCAAAACCTCTAAAATTCAGAAGGCAATATCAATGAAAATGTCCAAATCTTGTAATTTAGTATTTCCAGGCTCTGGGATTTTACAAAGCCTAAGATTATGTCATCAGTAGCACAACACATAAGGACAAGGCCTCCAAAGATGAATCAAATACATAAAAAAAGAAAGGAAAAAAGCCTTGAAAATCTAACTAATCATGGACGAACGTAAGATTTTATGCTAGGAGGGTGAACTTGAACTTATATACCAATATAACATTCAACACTCGTACCTGAGCCTGAGCCTGAGCCTGAGCCTGAGCCTGAGAGCTAACTTTGCCCGAGTTCATAATGCAGGTACTGACCAGAAAATTCCATCTTATAGTTTCAAATCCTTATCTAAAACCACAGGAAACATGATGCTTAATTATGTTACCCTCACTTAAGGTGAGTGCCAACACTAGTATGCTCTCTTTTCTTTTTCCTTTTCTACCAAGTTTTCTCTTGTAGTAGGAAGATCGTACTTCATATCCATGTCAAAATACGTATCTGATACAGAACATGAGAAGTTCCATAAATGAAAAAACGTATATAGTGAGGGTTATATTTACATTAATAGTTGATAGTCCAACACATCAATTGTAGAAGGCTGTTAGTTAAGCTAGGATACAGCATTGGACATGCTTCTCAAAACCTTTGACTAATGACTATCTAACGTTTACAGACTTCTCTGTGACTAGCACACCCTGAATGCTATCAGAATCGATATCTACACGTCGAAACTACTTCAGCCTTCTCCTAAAGGACGAGGAACAAGGAAAAGTACGAAAGATATCAAATGCATTTACTATCATACCAAGACAGTTCCAATAGTTAATGCCTGGAAATGCTATCAAATTTAACTTAACAGAGCATGATCTAGACCTGTAATATCAATCTTTAACTGAGTTGTTTGAAAGCCATAACTCGAATGTAATCAACTTACATAACTACTTCACTTCTGACCTAAAGGAGCAGAAATAATGCAAAGTTCGAAAGATATCACCGAAGACATTTTCTTCTCGTTATGAGAAAATCGACATTAATTCGATACCTGCAAATGAAATCAATTTAACTTAACCGAACCATAATAAGCCTCTGATATCAGTCTTTGACTAACCTCTGAAATGGTCACAACTCCAATGTTATCTACTTCACTAACACAGTAACACTTGAAAACATATAGCTTTGACATGATTCATATCTACAATATATAAAAACAATTAACTCAAAAAACACACAAACAAGAATAACACGTCAATTATCAAATCAAGGGTCTGTTTGTTTACTGTGAAAATGACTTCCAGAAAATGATTTCTGCATTTTCTACTTAATACTTCCAATTGGCAAACCTATTAAAGTTCTGCCACCAACCAAAAAACACAGATTATCATTCATCTAAATAGGACAAAAATGTACTAATTTAGTAGCCAGAGAATCATAAGCTTCAACAAGATAAATTTGAAAGAAAAAGGAATACTCGCTTACAAAAAAGAAAACAAACAGAGCCCAAAATGCCATTTATCTCAAACAATGTATACATAAAAAAATTCACTTCATACAGTATAAACTGGAAATTTATCTCAATGAATCAAAGTTCTTCCTTTTATTTCTCAAAGGGAACAAGTCAGAATGCAATGATAAATATTATAAAAGAAGGCTTACCATCCATTATGGTTTTGACCTTCGGAGCATAGAGTGAATAAACCAAAGCCTGTCTTTGGCGATTCAATGATAGGTTTTAAAAATTATTATTTTAATATTATATGTTGGTTTATATGTGTAGGTATTCATACTCATTTCCATTCCTAGACACCAAAGGGAAAGTAGGTGTAGAAGACAATAGGGCGGGGCCCCTCTGTTTGAGAATACTTTTCCTCCATCACTGGCTCCTTCCCTCTCTTTTATTGGCATTGCAAGAAAGGTATTTCTATTTCTTCATTTATTTACGTTTTTTCCCCACACCATGTTTCATTATTATTATTTTTAGGGATTTGTATTCCTTTAAGCATCGGTTTTCTACAAGACCAAACTGCAAATTACATATTCTGCTGAACAAAAATATATGAAACTACCCATTATTATATCCCTACTTGCATTTAAAATTTTATCCTAATTAAATTAAAAGATATGAAATGGTGCAGTTGATAGGGTTCCCAATCTTTGAATCACAAGCAAAATGGATAGCACAAGTGCTGAGTGGGAAACGAAGTTGCTATCATACGACGATCCTTTCCATCAAAGACTTTTATCGCGCAAGGGAACTCGCTAGCATTCGCAAATCCAATACTCACTATATTTGTGACTTCGAGGTATGCATTTATCTTTTTCATTAAGCTAAGGCGATTATAAATTTTTTAATATAAATTTTTATGTGATTGATAGAATAATTTATGTAAATTCTTTTGAGTTTTTTTTTATAATATATATATATATATATATATTGAAATATCAAGTTATTTTCAACTTGCATGTGAGTTATTATATGGGTTGTCATCTCAAAATCATATTTTTTAATATTTTAATTAATATTTTCAACTCCTCTTTTCACTCAACTTCAACCTCACCCTAGATCAATTTTGGATATATATATGTTTTTTTTTGTATGTTTTGATTTTTTCCCTTTCAACTTTGCTTCATTTTGAACCTAATTACACGGCTTTTCTTGTTTATGAAATATATAATTTGCTTTAATATTATATATATATATATTTGTTTTCTCTTCTAAAGCCAATGAAAAGTAAATCAATCACTTTGTGGGTTTGGTTTTCTTTGTTCGAATTAAGCAATGTTAATTTATAGACTCATTCTAATAGATACGCACAATAAAAATCTCATGTCAGTTTATTCGTTAAACAGGGATGGTTGCGGGAGTTTATGTTAGGGGGCGAACTTCAACTTTTAAAATTTTAGAGGGTGAAAATATAATTTCAATAAAAAAATACATATAAAAATCTAAAATATATGGTAATTTTAGATTTTTAGGAGGCGACCGCCCCCACCTGTCCTCACCTAGCTCCATCCCTATCGCTAAATGTTAACAGTAACTAACTTAATTGATAACAATTAGATGGTTAACTTGATTGAAAAAAGATCAATAGATCAGTAATCAAATTAAAACTACTATATAGTTAAGTAGTCATTCATATAGTTTATCCGTTGAAATTTCCAATTTTTTGTTTTTGAAAATGTTCAAATTTACCAACAACCAGTTGGTCTAATGGGATGAGATATTATGTCCCTTAAGCAAGGTCAGGTGCTCGAATCCTGACGTTTGCGAATCGAGCAAACTAAGTTGGGAGGGTTGCCCTCGTCTCTGCAATACCCGATCTGGATTAGTCGATCAATAGATCGAATATCAGTGATTAATTAAAAAAATGTTCAAATTTGACCTTGATTTGAATGGGTCTATTAGTTGGGCAGATAATTGCAAGTCCATATATATATATGGGAACAAGCAAAACACAAATTGTTAGCCCCCTATCAAATTGTATAAAATATTTAGTATAGGAAAAAAAAACACAAACTGCTATGTGGTTGATTTTCATTTCAGTTTAGAATGAACTATTGTGATCAAAAGAGCGTATTAACATCCCCATCATTCACCAAACCCCATTGATAGTTCAAAATGGATTTCAATTCTCCTTGTACAATATAACTGTTAGCTAATCTGGAAAAGTCTTTGAAATTGCTGTTTCTATATTTGGCTTAATATAAGCCAATGATTAGTCGACGGACATCTTGGACCCCGAGGTCTTCTCGTTATCTTGCCTCACTCTATTAGCCTTTGATGCGGATACCGAATTTGCCATTACCGGACTGCCGCTTCAGCATTGTATTCGTGGTACTGTCCATTTCTCTGGAAGTAATGAGATTATACCGTCGCCTGCCTTTTCTGCATCCGCTTTTACCTGCATTTCTCGAAGAACTACTTTCATGATGAGCATCGCCGGCTTTCACTAACCCTCCTATCAAATGAAGATCCTTGGCGACCTTGTACCTTGAGAAGCAATGGCTTGGAAGAAGTTCACTTTGAAAGGCCTCCTGATGTCTTCCTCTCCTCTTTCGTCCCCTGTTTGACTGGATTGCCGAATGAATTGCACTTGATTCTGGTTCTTTTTGGACATTGCTTGCACACCAAGTCTCTTCGGCATTTATCTCTGTTAGGTTCAATGTCATGGCCTCAAAGTAATCTATTCCATCTGATTGATACTCCTCTTGATCACCATAATCCTTAACACCTATGTTAACTCCAAGTTCACTCCCTGGATCATCCGACACTGAAGAAGCCACCCTTGCAAACCAATAGAGTGAAGTAGAAGCTCGAAACAGTTGGCAGTTGATTTTTTCTAAACAAGTCTGTATCTGAGATGATGAAATGCAAACTAAAGCCTCCGCAGCATTTCGGGCTAGTTCAGCTTGCAGATCCGTATCTTCTTGTCCCGAAAATAACAAAGTTGTTTCGAGCTGGTTTTCATTGGATTTGCCTCTAGGTGGCAAACACTCCTTGTTTTCCAGACTTACAGGTGGCTCCAAATCTACTTTTGTGGAGTGTGAAGGCAATAGCAGTGATTCATCCATTGATAAGCAAGAATTCAGGTCGATTATTCTACAACCTTGATACTTGCTCCAAGCTTCACTTTCTGCCACCGACTCGATTTGAGCTTCTTTTTCTCTTTCAGGCATGGGATTGAATTCCATGTTGATATTTGGTATTCTATTTATTTCTTTGACTTTGTTGCCTTCTATTCCAAGCATACTCTCGAACTCTAGGGGGTCGGTTGCCTCCATTTTTTCCAACTCAGCATCATGAACACACAGGGAACCAACGGCAGAATCTGGTGGAATCAACGGGTCTCTCATTTCACCAGATCTGTTGTCAGGTACAGGAATTTCAGCAATCCGAGGAGTACAACCAGTTGGATTTTGAACTGTATTTTCACCAGGTGTATGAGAAGCATCTTGCGAACCAGTCACATTCGTGGGGAAATTCGGTGAGACAAAATCGAGTTCAGGGCTTATGATAAATGATTTAGGACTTTCCCCCTTAAAACATGGAAGTGCTTGAACTGCAATAGGGCTCCGCTTGAAGGCACATCTCCAGGGTGATCCAGAAGTGGGTTCATAGTAACTAGAAGAGACATCACTTGTGACGTGCCAGAAATTTCCGATGCATAGCTTTGCATCAGTCTCGTTGAAGCCATGAAGTATCGCACAATCTTGAGCTCGCTCATTGTTAATATGCTGGATTGATAGTTTTCGAGTATAAAGATCTCGAGGGAAAGCATTCAAATCATTTCCATCTTGCCCTGAAAACAGTTAACATCCATATAATATCATCAACAGCAGTAACAAATTACGGAAGATGAAAATTTAATAAAAATGTATAGCATCCTTACCAGCTTTATCATTAGAAGGTACACATTCTCTTTGCATTTTGTGCTCAATGTGGAGTAATTTTTGACGGGAACTGAACTCTGGAATAATATCTTCCTCAAGTTCGACAGGAGCATTTAAGTCAGCAATAACTTTTAACTTCGAAGAAGCGGAACAAGTAACAAAGTTTTCTTTAGGGAAAATAGAGGTGCAAACGATGCCGCTATGGGGTAGTTCATTATCTCCCCTATCTCCAACATTGATTTTCTTTAGAGCATTGCTAGGTATATTAGTCACTGCAGGATCCAATGTCACTTCTTGAAATCCATCCTCTTCACTGTCAAAGTACCCATCAGCTGGCAGTTCAAGATCCAAGAACCTTCTGCCGAGCTTTTTGCAATTCGACTCCGTGAGAACATAGGCCCTTGAAGAACTTTCTGTATGAGTTGGATCAAGGCCTGCCTCCTCTTTACTTCCATCATATGAATGGGAAGGAAAACCACTACCTTCGGCTTCTGAAATTTCAGGAAAAACACTGCCTGTCTGTTGTGGCACTCGTACATGATTAGATGACTTCGGACGTAAAACATGATTCGGTTGGAACATCTCGACATTGCAACCATGTTTAAAAAAGTCAATTGTTTTCATTTCATCCATTAATTCCTTCTGTTTCCTGTAAAGCCGGTGGAGTTCACGAATCTAAAACAGAAAACATTGCAGATGCATTAATATGTGATAATATGGTTTTAGATTAAGGATCACTAAGATGATTCTTATATAAGCATCGATCTAAGACGCTCGCTTTCGAAAATTTTATGTACACATAATAATGCTAGGACATTTATCTCCGGAAAACACGGGAGACAACTAATAGTTGCCAGAATTAAGACTAAAATAATATGGTTTAAGTCTATGTAAAGAGTGCAAAGTGGAAACAACACACTAATGAAATCATCTGCAAATTATCTCCGCATAAACGACAATTAAATGATCGATCTAAAGATATAGAACCCTCCATAGATATTCAAAGCTCCAGCTAATTACTGATACATAATGTAGGCAGTAAAAAAACTCATTGCTTAGGAGACGAAGCACCGATTTAAGCACATAGAACATGATTTTACTCTGGTAGTACATCAGAATACAGGGTTCCTGATACATCAGAAGTTTATCTTGAGAGAAATACCTGATCCCTGAATTCTGCTTCATGCTTGAGCATTGTCTGCTTTAGTAAACCCTTGTTGTAAAACATATTCGAACCCAAAGACAGTAGCAAAGTAACATCAGTGTACTGCCTAATCCTCGAAATTCTATTAACATTATCCGAGGGACACACAGTGCCATTAGCATCTGAATTAAGGTCCCAAGTAGTATACCACCTTGGGAAGGGGCTTTCGTGCTGCACGTTTGCTTGCATCTGCAGCGTTGCCATTAAAGCTGAAGAACTAATTTCAATCGATACTACAATAAATTCAAACCGAGCAATCTCTTTATCATGAGAAAAGCTACCTGCATAAATCAGGGAAAGTATATGTTTTCAAAACTAATGGTCTCTATGTTGCTTCGACTCTTCCATGTTCAACATATTATCTAGATATCGCCCTCAAAACATATGGAAAATTTTAGAAAAATTTAAACACCGGAGTGTCCGACACATTCTAACATCCGACATTCACACCTGAATCCAAATAAAATAATTTCAAACTAACATCACATTCAACTTAAGTTTCTCACAAGAAGAAGATTTAATCAAACCCAAGGTGATATTAATCAAAATAACAAACAACCCCATGGGTGGATAGTCGATGTATATCTATCTTCAAAATATGGCAAATGGTTAGGTGTCCCAAGTAAATTTAGCAGGAAAAAAATGTTTCTCTAAAACAAGAATCTACAAAGTAGGAAGAAAAATGAGTGAAAACAATTATCAGGTTTCATACTAATAATTATACTAAGCTTTGAATAAGTTGTTAAAATTTTTTAGTGAAATGTATCTATGATCAGTGAATAGTGATCAATGGAATCAGGAAAATAATGAATTCGTATTTTTTTCTGGGTTTTAAAAAACAATAATACTAACGAAACACTGAAATATATCAATAGAACGCCCAAAATTCAAGCAGTGAATCCAACCCCGTGGTTAGTAGAAAAAAGAGAGCTTTGAACCATTAATCCCAGGATTCAGGAGAAAGCAATATACAATAATCCATATCTTCCGCATTAAATAAAGAGTGCAAGAAAAATCAGAGTTTAATCAGAAATCTATCCGTCTTCAAAGCATTAACACAACTCCAAATATAAGCAGCTAAAACATTATTAAAAATCCCCCAAAGAGAGGAAGAAGAAGCCATGAAAGCCATTAATAATCTTACCTCAAAAAACAAATAAAATCAACTTTTTTCCTGAGCTCATTGACATAGTTTTCTGCAAAGTAGAAGCAAAACTTCTTTAGAGATGCATAAAAAACAGTGTGCGGAAAGAGATGAAGTGGGTATTTCGTGAAGATAAAAATGGAAACAATGGGATCTGCGGGGTCCCATTTTTCTATGAAAAAAGAATCAAACAGAATCGAATTAGATATAACTTACAGAAGAAGCGACATCAAAGTTTTCATTTTTTATCATAACTATTTCTCTCTTTCAGTTTTAACACCAAAGATCTCAAAAGAGTAATATTTACAATTTTGTTGAGAAATAATGTTTTTTTTTATTTCTTTCAGCTTTAAGAAGAAAAATAAATTAATCAGAGAAAAAGACAACAGTACTGTCACAGACAACTCATGTCTTGGACGACCTTGATTTTTCCAAATTTTGAATAATTTTCTTCGTGGAGAAGTTTGAGCTTTTTCACACAAATATTCATGTTTTAAAGACCAAGATGAGATGATAATGCTTTGAATTAAAGTCTGAAATTGGTCTTGTTTAATATTATTGAGTTTGACTCGAAAGCTTAAAATTAAATTTGATTTAAAAGTTTATAAATTTAAAATTATTAAACTCGATACTAAAAATTAAAATTCGACTCCAACTCAAAAAGATTTAAACTCGAAACATTCTTAAAAACTCTCAAATCATAACTACATAAAAACCATATACTATACTTTTTTTTATTAAAATAATATATATATATATTATTAACCATTTGATTAAAAATAAAAACTTTAATATAATATTCTTTTTGAGTTACTTGAAAATTCTCGTATTAGATATCAAGTAGTTTTATTTCAACTCGTTAAAAACTTAAATTTAGTTTGAGCTCAAACCGAATCCGTTCAATTCGAATAATCATCAAACTTAGACCAAATCAAACTCAACTAACTTTTAGATCAAATCAAGTTTCCCATGAACAATGTTGAAATCTTGGCAAATTATTTTGAGCTCATTCTTAGGTGGGATACGATTGCGGGGGATTTGATCGGTTCTTGCAATCACTCAATTTATGTACTAAAAGTTCAAATTCCAACCCCAAGTTCTGGACTCTGATCTCTCATCAAGTATCCGTTCTCTTGTGCTTCAGTCAAAGATAAAACTCAACCACATGGAACCACAAATCTTATGAAGGATCGAGATTTGATTTGAAAACCCAAAAACACTGGACAAAACTGCAGGTGCTGAACATCTCATAAACAAAACCAAACAAGCAAAAGGGTAAAAGATAGAATCTTCTCAACATAAAAGGAACTTTATTTTACTACCCCAGGCATTGAACTCACAGCAAACTCGAAAGGTGTCCATCATACATTGACCGGTGCTGTATCTTCGAGTACAAGAGTCTTGGCTGGCTTTCCCAACAGATTGCTGTACTCCTGGAAAGGCAGCCTTGTGAAGCGAGTCTCTTTCCAGAAATCGGGCGTCAAGAAACCATAAGTCTTCATAAGACACTCAAAGGTGGCCTGCAAATAATCAACAGATATCAAGCTGTAATCGAACAAGCATCTCTCGATAACCATTCAACAAATAACATATTGCCTACTGAATCAAATTAGTGCCTTGAAAAATTCAATTGATAACAACCCAAGAAGAAGAATCATATATTCAACAACTCCATAATAATCAACACAGAGCAACGAGTACCACATGATCGATTACTAAACCAGGCATAAAGCTAATATGATGTTGAAATCAACAATTACTCCTTTCGGAAACACGAAAAGAAACAAAATGCATCACATTCACGCCACGTGTATACATGTCACAAGGGATAGAAGCATGATTTAATGCTAGGGATCGGAATTATAAAATTTTAGGGACGAACAACATAGTCAGTGACCAACTAGCCTAAATCATAATATGCATCCAATTAATTCAGTAATATAAACCTCACAGCATGTGATTCAGATCATTAGAATATCTAAATAAATCAAGCATTGCATTAGTATCAAATAACAGGAACCACAACATATAACTATTCATTTCCCAGTAAACTTAAAAGAATCCATTAACAATGTTAAAAAATTAAAATTATAAAGAAAACTCAATACCTTGACAAAGTTACCAAGAGTTTTAGTAGAACCCCTTGAAGAAGTAAAGACATCTTCAATCCCAGCAAATTGAAGCACCTTCTTGGGAACCCTCGCCGCCACAATCCCCGCACCCCTCGGAGCCGGCAACATCTTTCCCGGTGACCTTACAAGGCACCGTATGAGGTTTCCCGATCTTGTTACTCCAGTAACCTCTCCTCACAGGGATCACGGACAACTTTGCCAATATTATAGCCCCTCTTATAGCCGTCGCAACTTCTTTGCTACCCTTGACACCCAGTCCTACATGTTCGTTTCCGTCGCCGACGACGACGAATGCCTTGAAACGGGTGCGCTGGCCGGTTCGTGTTTGTTTTTGGACCGGGGTGATCTTCATGACTCGTCTTTCAGCGATGGGCCGACGAGTTGATCGATGATTTGGTACTCTTTGATCGGGAGAGAGTGGAGGTAGATTTGTTCGAGGGATGTGATCTTTCCCGTCTTCACTAAACGGCCGAGTTTTGTCACCGGAACCCATTTCTCCTCTTCGTCTCTTCGGCCGCGACGCCTACCTCTCGGGCCACGGTCGGAGCGGCCGCCAAATCCACGCCTGAAGGTGCCGCGTTCTCCGCCCCTCTCTGCCATATTTTTTTAAGGCTTTGAAGCTGAAAGGAGTTCACACAAAATTTGAATATCCGATTTTGCGTAAAAATTATTCGAAACTTGATTTGAGCTTGTGAGCACATGAGATGAATGGGCTTCTTTTTTAATTATCTTTTTCATGATTTTGGTCAAAAGAAATCCAATATGCATGAGATTTGATGGGATTTTGAAAAGGGTTAATTTAATTTAGATAAATAACTTGATATTGAAATATACCTCAAATTTAATTTTTATTTTATTTTAGTACTCTACCACTAAAAATTTTAGTTTTTATTTTATTTTAGTACATCGTTCAAAATTTATCGTTAAACTTTAAAAAAATTGAGAATTTATGTACTAAAACAGGCCAAAATTGACAATTTAGGTGCTAATAGAGTTAAGTTTTTAATGGTGAGATACTAACATGAAATAAAAATTAATCATTATGAATGATTTTTTTGAAAAAATAAAATAAAATTTTAGGTATTAAAACATATCAAAACTGATAGTTTATATAATAAATGCATAATTTACCATATTAGGTTAACGTAGCAAAATTTAGTGTCATTTTTTGGTTGATCAAACATATCAATAAAGTGTTCATTTTACTCAAATATGATAGAGTTTGATTTAATTTGGTTAAATCATTTTTAATTTTAAAAAATAAAGTTTGGTTCGAGATTTTTTAAGGTGTCGTCGGATTGGATTTGGTTTTATAATGAAATTTTTTTATTAAGTTAAAGTGATTATAAAGTAGTATTTATTTTAAATACTATCAATCATTTGACAATAAACGTTCAATCACCCTGCTGCAGTTGTTGGTGCTCGAACATGTGATATCTAGTATCAACAATAATTTCTTTAACCTCTGAGGTAAGTTGATTCGTACATGATGAAAAATTTTAACTTGACATAATATTATAATCATCCTTTATATATTTAAAGATAATTATAATAATATCCTTCTTTTTTTTTCAATTAAACTTTTTTATTTTCCTAATTAAAATGAATTATATATATATATATATTTAGTTCAAATCAAATATACATTTTATTTTAACCCGAATATCAAATTAGATTTCAGGTTGAATGGATCCTCCTAGATTTGGATCAATCCAAATGCGCATAAAAATATTTAAATTTCTGGATTAAATTAAACTAAAATCTGAGTCAAACGAACTCATTATCATTCCACATATCAACCATTTAATACTCTACGATGGAAATAGTTTGTTTATTGTCTGAAATCAATATTTAATACTCTACGATGGAGATATGTATTCCACATATTTTCTAATTTGTCTTCTTTTTCTTTGGACGGTTGAGTATATTTTAGAAATAATACTATATGTCACTATTGGAAAAATGCTTAACGTGATGTATTTAACCTAGCCTTACCATTATCAAATTAAAATGGGGCATGAATTCAATTTCATATTTTTATTAATTTATTTTAAATATTTTTTCATGTTATTTTGTGTTGTGTGTCAATTAATTTATATATATTTTTAATTTATCATGGTATTAAAAAAAGAATAAGGTTAGTTCCTACGAACCATCCAAATATATCAAGAGGGGGTGAATTGGTCTTTAAAAATTTTGTGTGGAAGCAATCGAAATTAAAACTTTTGCACTAGAAATTTAGAGTAGTTCAACTTCTAAACCAAGTCTACACCCATTATCTTAGGATGCTCACTAAGGATTTCTCAAATCTATTAGATTTGCTAACTTTTGAGGACAAGGTGTAAAATTACAACAACATACAAGGTTTATACCCAAAACCTTGCTTACACTCTCTCCAAAAGGGGATAACATATTAAGCAAATAAAAGAAGGCATCTCAAAGGCAAATAAGTTTGTAACAAATTAAGCACCTATTGATGATAGCGGTGAATAGATCCAACATGATTTTGATGTTTTCATAATTAAGTGTGCGAATGCAAATCTTTGGTTTCTTCACTTGAGTTGTACCCTCATTAGTAACTTTAAGCTTGTGCCAAATTTCTTTAGCATTAGTGAATGAGGACAATCTATTATACTCATCAGGCTAAGTGCATTAAAGAGAATGTGCATAGATTTGGCGTTGAGTTGGGCTAGATTTCTATCTTCATTAGTCCATTCCGACTTGTTTCGTGGAGGAATAGGTGAACCATCAATGATGACATCCCAAACCGAATAATCAGTAGCTTGAACGAACACCATCATCATATTCTTCCAATAAGAATAGTTTTGCACCATTGAAGTATAGAGGTATTGAAATGGATTGAGAATCTTCAACTTTGTAGGAGTCGGAAGTGGAAGCCATCTTTATCGGTTGATTGAAGAAGATGATAGAGCTCTCCAAGGGATTTCTCAAGGTTGT